ATAAAAACCGCATTACAACAACATTCAGCTTCTGCATGTTTTGTGATAAAGTAGAACCTTACGCACTTCCTACATTCGCCATTCTTGGAAGCGAAAAACGCTCATAATCTTCCAAATCATTGCTTTGCAGATATGGAAGAGAAATTAGGATTAACGTTTCAAACACTGTTTATCAGTGTGTACATTTTTTTGAATCTACGTTACAACTTGGCGTCTTCTGCTTGTGTAAACTGGCTGCTATCTGGGGATGGGATATGTGGACATGCTACACTTCAAATCAAATGGCAGAAAAAACGTTAATCTTTGTAAATGAGCGGATGTGGGAGAAATTCACTTTAATGTCTATAGTAAATGTTAAAAGCAGAGAGGATTAGGAGTAATTTGGACGTAAGGTAGCTTTGAACATAAAGTATGGTAATCGTGAACATTAAAAAGTGAGAAAGTGCACAATGCTGCTATCTTACATGCAGTTTCTATTATTTTCAACAAGCCCAAACACATAACTGATTTGCGTCGCCAGAACTGATTAAAAAGTTTGCTTAAGTAAGCTGCTTATCTTAGTATAAGACCAGGTATACGGCTCATGCCGCTGTGTTGACCTAGTCAAAGGATCTTAAGGGCATACAGTATGCAGCAAACATTTACATTGTTACAAACTCGACAGAACACAAGGATATTCTTCAAAGATCCAATGTTGTACTATTTTAGAATGGTGCTATTCGTGTTGTTTTGGCTGGTGTGGATTGCACTATTTGTAATTTCAATTCTACTCGTCGTGCTCAGCCCTGGTTGTGTTGTTCGATCGAAACCGAATTGGTGGCAAACTGCTATTGCTTACAATGTTAGTTTATCTTGGAATGTTATATCGACGTTTTGCTTTTGAAAAAACCAGTTGTTCGAACAAACCGTATCCTATGTGTTTTGGGTTTGCTCCATTCTAGCTTCGCATACATTGAAAAACTGTAAAGTTTACGGAATTCTCATTGAAATCTTGCAAGCCCTTTATATTTCAAATCTGAGTAAGAAATAAGACTTATGCCTTAATCAAAATGGAGTGTAAGCCTCTTTAGGTCTGGGTTCCATCATTCCAAGATTCCGATGGAGATGGATACGGTGACATGCAAGGACTTCTCAATCGTCTTGAAAACCTAAGGAAGAGCGGTGTACAGGTAGGGTTACTGCAATTCTTTAATGCTTCAATGATGAGTAATCCTTACTTATCCATTTACTCCTCATAGACTGTCTGGCCATCACCGTTCTTAATCAGTGACAATTTCTCAAACGCTGTACGAAGCTA